AAATTTAAATAAAATAACTAATTTATGAATCAAATCGAAAAACCCAAACTATTTATAAAAAAATTATATATTTATCGAATCAAATCTGCTTTCATGAATGAAGCCAAAACAACACATGAAATCAATCAATCCAAGAGCAACGAGAAAAGGTTAAAGAAACAAGAGAGCAACACTCTGATTAGTAATTCAACAGCGCATTCCAATCATGAAATCATGTCATGCCATCCGTATCATTAAGAATGAAGATGTGACATCCATCCATTTCCATACCGTTAAAATTTAACAAATATAAATAATATTTAAACACCTTTAATGACGGATCTAGAAATATTTAACGAAATATTTTTGAATAGGTGAACACAATTAAAATTTCAGGGTGGACACCATTAATAAAATAATGAACTAACTGAAGAAAATCGAATTTCAGAGCGGGTACGTGTCCACCCTCGAGTATATGCGACTCTGCCACTAAATACCTCATGCAGTCTCGAACCTGAGACATTTAAGAATAACAATCATTCCTTTAAGAGTAACAATATTATTAAAAGATAATTATAATTTTAGAACGAACATGAATAAACCTTCAATATTTTTATAAAAATATAAGAATCGAAAACATGAGACATGTAAATAAAAATATCTATGCAGCAGTGACAAAATTGGGCAAGTGGTGGCAAGAGATAACATGAAAATCAATGTATGGAAGGAAATAAAGATGGATAGGAAGTAATTACCGGTATATGAATGACTCCTGCACCCACCAATTTCCTCCCTTTGTTTCGTCTTATTACGATGGAGGGATAAAGATAAAGAAAATTAAAAGTTGAGATTAACGGTAGGAAATGTAAAGATATTTAGGGAAAAAATAATAAGAGTTAATCTCGTATTTTAGACAGTTGGATTAGTAAAAATAAATGACTGAGATTAAAACTAAGAAATGTGAAGATATTTACGGGAAAAATGAGTCAATCTCAACATCTGTTTTCACTCATCCAATTGTTCTACATCTATGTAAAACTAAAAGAGTTTTACAATGTGTAAGTGGATTCTAACTCATATATATCACTAACACCTAACGTAAAACTTGTAGTTTTATAACTTTTTACGATCGTTGGATGAGGAAAAAAAATCAAATGTTGAGATTAACTATTTTTTTTCCTTCCGATTAATATCTTGTGATTTCCTATTCTTAATCCAACAGTTGATTTCTTTTCATGCAACGATTTTAAAAAGATATTAAACTAAATATAATTATATTATATAATTAGAGTCTAACCCTATATATAAGAACCAGAAGATAGTGTGCTATGAGGTGAGTGTCCTTACTTCTACTCCTTAGTCCTAGTGTCATTATATCCTCCACAAAAATGTTGTCTACAATTTACTTCTTAGAAGGGTTCTATCAGATATATGTCGTCCATTTGATTTCTTTCATCCAACTATCATAAAATTCTCTCATTCTTTTAGATTTATAGTCTTTTATGATCGTTGGGCGAGAAAAAAATCAAATGCTGAGATTAATTCTTTATTTTTTTTTCTCAGTGAATATCTTCTCATTTCTTATTGTTAGTCTCATCATTTGATTTCCTCTCATCCAACTATCCTAGCTATATATATATGCTGTGAGGTCACTGTTAGGGGTGTTCAAAATTCGGTTTTAACCGAATTAACCGACCGAACCGAATTAGTTCGGTTAATTCGGTCGGTCACCGAATTAATTCGGTCGGGAAACGGTTAAAATTTTTTTTAGAATTCGTTAACGGTTAATTCGGTTCGAAATCGGTTAATTAACCGAATTAGCCGAATTAACCTTTAAATATAATTATATTAAGAGGCCCAATCCATTTAAAATTATTTAAAACCCAAATCAATATTAATTAATTAAAATAATATCAAAACTAAATGCAAAATGTTTTAATCAAATTAATTAGATATTATTTATAATTAGATATTATTTAAATTAATTATAAATTGTTTTTTTAAATTAAAAAAATATTAAATTCTAAAATTCTAAAAAATTTCGGTTAATTCGAAAATTAACCGAAATTTATTCGGTTCGGTTAATATTTTCGAAAAAAAGTTCGGTTCGATTAACGGTTAAAGAAAAAAAAAATTCAGTTAATTCGAAAATAGTAGTTCGATCGGTTCGGCCACCGAATGAACACCCCTAGTCAGTGTCCTTACTTCAACTCCTTAGTCGTCGTCTCATTGTATCCCCACAAAAATGTTGTCTACAATTTACTTCTTAGAAGGGTTCAAGAGTGATCAAGAATCTTATACAAAAAAAATTAAATTACGCGTTTAATATTTAAACTATCAGTTTTGTCCGTTTTAATACTTAAACTTTTTAAAAAAATTAAATTATATTTAATGTTTAGTTTTTGTTTCATTTTAGTATCTCGTCGTTAAAAACTTAAATCTTTCCAACCATGTACTTATGACACGAAATTTAAAATCTTGATGACCTTTGAAGCATGTAACTTCAATCTGAAATCAAAATCTAAACAACCCTCATGTGCATATAAATCATTGGAAGAATTAGCTATTGGAACTCATTAAGTACAATACTTGTTGTGAATCAAGACCCTCATAATCATAAAGAACCCCACCAAGGGGGACAGAGTTTGTGCACAAAAACTCTCTTTCTTCTTCCTCAAAGTGGGTGATCGATGCCAAAGGAGTAATTTATAAGCAAAGCAGCACATTTGTTCGCTTCATTTCTTCACCTCTCTTGTTTTATTTTCTAAGATTTAATAATTGGTTAATTATTATTTATAAAAGAAATAGTGTAGGGTCTATATATGCCTCCTTGACCCCATAGAACATCAGTTCAACTCATTATTTCGATTTTCAGTTGATCGTTCGATGTTTTCTTCGATTAAAGAAGTGGGGTATAAAAAGATAAAATTTAACATTAAAAGCATGTACGAGCGGAGTCGTCTATTAAAAGTAATTTTTAAAATATGTATTAAAAATAAATTATTAACAAAAATAATTAACATTACAATGTGGGTTTTAAAAGCATGCCAAGGGAGTAATATATTTATAATTATGCTAATTATTTTTATTGGTGGTACAGACGCACACACTCCTAACCCAATCTTGTGGGTCATTATTCAATGCTTTTATTTGTGGTCAAGGGCCAAACCCTTTTTCATGCATGCCACGTGTATCATAACGGATGCATGATATAAGCATGAAGTATGATGATGACCCACCCCATGTCATCATTTCTTTTGTAGTTTGAAACCGGGTTAATCCGATAATAAGTCCTAAAACTATGAGTTAATTTTTAAATTTGTTTTTAAATTTTAAAATATTTTATTTGAGTATTCAAAGTATTATGTTATTTTTCCGATCAAGTTATTAGCTCAAATTTAACGTAAGGTATATATAACATATATTAATTAAAGTATCAAAATGGTTTATGTACCTTTTAAGGATCGGCATGAGTTGGATTAATTTGAATTAATCTGACTCGAGTATTATATTACTTCACATGTCATCTGACACGATACGAGTTTAAGAAAGTTTCATCTAACTCAAATTTTAGGATAAAAGTCGTATTTGACTCAATCTGATCCGACACAAATATGATATAATTCTTATTTTTATTTGATAAAAGAAGGACATGATTGAAAAAAGATAGGAGTATAATTACAATTATCTCTAAATATATAAGGGATAATTATACTATTATCTCCGGTTAGATCAAGTCAGGAAATTTTTATCCTAAACCTCAATTTAACATTATCCTTAAAAAATCTAACCTGACCAAAACCTAAAGATTTTAATTAAAAGAAACTATCCTATAAGGTCTCATACTCATCCCTAAACTTACTGCATGGATGATTTAATTTTAGAATAAAGTCCCTCGATTATAGGGTGTTACTTTTTTGAGTCCCTTAATTATTAGAAGTTACAAAATAGTCACCCAACTATTAAAAGTTACAAAATGATCTCATACTATTCATATATACAAAATTCGTGTTTTTTAATTAAAAATTTGATGACCTTTTCAGCTTCACGTTGACATGTTGCTTTGAATATGATAAAATTATATTTTAATGATGTTTATTAGCACTATCGTTGCTTTCAAGTACTGGCTCGACGGCACAATGTTTCAAGTACTGGCTCAAAGACATAATATAAACATATAGTCGATCCACAAAATGCAGCTTCTTGGATCATGTTTTACCATATCCTAGTCAACAAGTTAACTTCCCAACTCATACGATCGTCAATGTTTTTTACGAAAAAATACGAGTTTGAAATATATGAATAGTTGGATGAACATTTTGTAACATTTAATAGTTGGGGACTCAACAAAGCACCACCCTATAGTCGGGAGACCATTTCATAACTTTTAATAGTCGAATAACTCAACAAAGCAATGCCCTATAGTCGAGGTATCATTTGTGTACTTTACCCTAAATTTAATATGTCAAGAAAAAAGAAACTTGAATATATTCTAAACTAAATTTAAACCGGCATTTAACATCTAAATTGATAAATAAACCAAAGAGATCTAATGATGCAATTAAGTAATATTTTAATTAAAAGATCACTTTAGAATCTAAACGATACTTTGTGAATATTTTGTAATTCAACGCTATAAAATTCTACTTCTTAATATTAATACTACTACTAAATAATAATAATAAAATAATTTAATACGAATGAATTCGCATAATAAAAGGTTGAAAATGCCACATGTGCAATCCCAAGTGGGGCTTTTTGGAATTATAAATGACATAGAGGGTTTATATAATAATTTTCCCCTTTCTGATCCCTGTATACCTAACACAGCAGAGAGCAGATATCGTCACTTGGAAGTGTATACAAATCAAAAGCGTTTCATTTTACCCGCCGCCATGGGAGAGAGAGCTTGCAGCTTGAGATTTTAAAGCACATCCATGAAATCATCTTCTTCCTCGTGATTCATCATCAAAATTCCACCTTCCTTTTGACGTCACTTTCGTTTCTTCCATCCATCACACTATAAACATCATCTCCTTCACTGTTCTTCTTTCGTCAACAACATGGGAGACAATCGCAATGTTAATCTGCCGCCGGGGTTCAGATTCTGTCCCACCGACGAAGAGCTCGTCGTTCATTTCCTTCAACGGAAAGCCGCTCTCCTGCCTTGCCACCCCGATGTCATCCCTGATCTCGACCTTTATCCATACGATCCCTGGGAACTAGATGGTATATATATATATATATATTTGGTTGGTTTTCGTTTCTTGTCTTTTTTTTTGTCGTTGAATCTCTTTTAATGGATATAGGTAAAGCTTTGGGTGAGGGAAAGCGGTGGTATTTCTACAGCCGGAGGACGCAGAACCGGAGCACCGGCAATGGGTACTGGAAGCCGACGGGAACCGATGAGCCAGTGGTGAATAGCGATGGCAGCCGGAAAGTTGGCGTGAAGAAACATTTCGTTTTCTACATTAAGGAATCGGGTCCCGCCGGTATCAAAACTAATTGGATTATGCAAGAATATCGTATCTCCGATACCGATTCCGGCAGCAGTAGATCGCCCAAACGTAGCGGAGGAGGACATTCCAATATTGTTAGTAATCCTATACTCATTAATTCTTGGTTTTAAATGTTGGGATAATTATGTACTTAGTCCCTATATCATTCAAAATTTTAAAATTGATTCCTTCTACTTATCTGGTTTAAAAACTAAAATATAATTGATAACACTAATAAGTTTTCGTCAAACTTTAATGTGACATTTTAATACCAAAAGATTTGATTTAAAAGTTAGAGTATACTTAAGGGATAAAGTAATTTTTAGCCCCTCAACTTTAATTTTGTTTATTTTTAATCCTTTTTCATAATGTGATGCTTTTTATTATATTACTTTTAAAACGTTATCTCATCAAATTAATAAAATAAATAAATTGATGGATTGATGGTATAAAAAATTTGATAGCCAAGTCGGATAAAATTTGTCAAATTCATAAATTAAAAATTTATTTAACCCTATCATTAATAACATAGGATATAAAATAATTATTAAAATTTTCAAACAGTTACAAAAAAAACATTAAATATATCGAAATATTACAAAATAATTTTTAAATATATCAAAATTCATTTATTAATAGTTTTATGTGTGTATGAGTTTACAGGATTATAGCAAATGGGTTGTTTGTCGAGTTTACGAGCGAAATGAAGAAGAAGAAGACGACGACGACGACGGAACAGAACTATCATGCTTGGATGAAGTGTTTCTGTCATTGGATGATCTGGAAGACATAAGCTTACCAAATTAAGACATGCTTTTTGTTATAACCTTTAGGGTTTAATTTCATTTACATATAAAGGCTTTTGTCCAAATTGTAGAATCATGACATCAATGTATGTATCTGTAGGAGGAAGAAGAATGGAATATTATTATAGAAAGTATATTTACCTATGGAAGTCTTGTTTACTTTTCTGGATAAATTACATAATTCATCATTCAGTTTTCTTTCAACTCCTATTTTGACCATAAAAGTTTTTTTTAATAATTTACTAATTAAACTTTTGGTTTATTTCTATTTTGGTCAATTAAATGTTAAATCATAAATGAAAACGTGATATGACGTTTGTATGAAAATATGAAATTCATGTGTTACTCACGTTGTTTTACTTTTTTTATCTCTAAAAATGAAGGTTTTATAATGTCATCATTATTTTATATTGGCGTTGTAATGATCCTTTTTGGGGTTTTCTATGACCACTCAAAATATCAATGAACTAGTCTCGTTGTTTCCTATATATCAGTTTATATTTTACCTAAATCACTTTAAAATTTATAAAATTTAACTATAAACCCTAAACTCATGAAACCTCAAACCACTTTGATCTATAATATCCACTATTCGGTCAATATAGAATTAAGATATATGACTCGTTTTCTCTTTCTCTACCTCCCCACAATTGAGATTCGAAAGAAGATGTTTCATCATCAAGTTCGAAACTAGGGTTTTTTCATTAAAAAATGAAAAAAGTTTAGGTCCATGTCATAATTTATAAAGGAAAAATGTCCAATTACGACCTCTGTTACTTTGGTCCTCGGTTTTCTCCCCCGTAGGCTTTTTGTAGACAAATTTATTAGCTTTTGTTCATTATGATTGAATTTGATGGTTAGTGTCTTTGTATCACAGTGCTGCCTTAATGCCTTAGGTGGCTGCTTAGAGAAGCACTCCGTCATATATGACGCAAGAACTCCCACGCTTTCCATCCCCACACGTGTTAACAAACAATTTTCACTCCATTTAAAGAATCCAAAATCAAGATATTGATTTTCCAAAAAAATTATTTATTAGAATTTGAGGCACTCATTTGTGGGCTAAAATATTATTTTTAAGATATTTTTATATTTATTTTACAAAATAAATAGGTCCATAATTGCAAAAACTGAGCTCCTAGATTCTTTGGGGAAAAAATTAAAGAAATTGGAATTGTGTGCAACAAATTGGACCGACGTGCCGACTTGCCTCACCCGTGGTGTGGTCTGATAACCACACCGGTTTCCTGCCTCGGAGCGACTAGAGAACGGTGGCGCGGTGGCTGCTGGCTGTGTCTATGAGCCTTTTGTCGAGCGGAGCGGTTTCTTGACTCCGTTGGCCTTTCGACGGCCGACTCAATCTGTTCCAAAGCCTCCACGACTTCTTTCATCGACGGACGATTCTTTTGCTCGGATTCGAGGCATTTTAAAGAGAGTTGAGCTATTCGATATGCAGCTTTAGCGGGATATTTTCCTTCCAATCGTTGGTCCATTATTCTCTTCAATTTCCTTCTGTCGGATAAATGCGGCTTGATCCAGTCCACAAGATTATGTTGTCCGCTCGGGCGGTTCAGATCGAGTGCTCGTAAGCCTGTTAGTATCTCGACTAGGACGACACCGAAAGCGTACACATCGCTCTTGACGTACAAATGCCCTGTTTTATCAGCAAACTACTCGAGTCGTGGGCTCGTTCGTCTCGAAAATGCAACGATGAAAAGCAAGAACATCACAAGTTGGGAAGGTTTCGGAGGATTACCTGTGGCAACATACTCGGGAGCTGCATAACCATATGTGCCCATGACCCGAGTCGTCACGTGCGATCGGCTAGCTGAAGGACCAAACTTGGCCAATCCGAAATCTGATATCTTAGCCGTGTACACCTGTGACAAAACCGATAGCCGAACCGTATTAGAATGTGATCGAGAAAAGCATGCTCAAAGTTTTGAGTTTATACCCCATCAAGCAGTATGTTGGACGCTTTGAAATCTCTGTAAATCACTTGCTTGTCCGAAGCGTGCAAGAACGACAAGCCCTTTGCTGCCCCTATTGCAATCTTAAGCCGTGTGTTCCAATCAAGCGATTGAACGGTCGAGCCTCCTGAATAACAAACATTAACGGAAATCGGTACCGTATATGCTCGAATGAATAATCGGAGACTAGAAAGAAAACCAAGTATTAAGCTACTTACTTCCAAATAAATGGTTTTCTAAGCTGCCCCTTTGCATAAACTCGTAAACCAGAAGAAGCTCGTTATCCTCCAAGCAGTATCCTATAAGCCTTACAAGGTGGGGATGAGACAGCCTTCCTAAGAAGTTTATCTCCGACTGCACCGGTAAACGAAGTAGCAAAAGCCGGTAAAATGAGCACTAAACGATAAAAAAAATGCAGGGATGAACTTGTTTCACCTAGAATGATGTTACACGATACATCGCATATACTCTTCCAGGGCCTACGGTGAGGCACCGAACCGGTAACCTCACCGTAACGAACCCGGAAAACAGTCCCGATCGAACTAAGATCTACAATGTAATTCTTATAGTGTCATTTTTAATTTTAACTACTAACATAGACATCTATATGGCGTTGCCTTGAAGAACAAGTTAATTGTATGCAAACCTGCCATTCCTCATATCCTTGCAAGCTCTCGGAGTTGAGTTTTTTAACGGCGACGAGCGTTCCACTACCGATCTTCCCCGGCGTTTTCTCGTCGAGCCAACCCTTGTAGACTTTACCGAAACCGCCTTCGCCGAGCAGCATTTCGGGCCTAAAACTCTTGGTTGCAGCCTTCAGTTCTGCAAAACTGAAGGTCCTTAGATCAGGTGTGGGCAAGATCTGCCCATTCGGAAAAGCCTCATCGCCACTCGAAGCCGAGAACCCACTGCCCCTCGAAACCGCAGCAGACGACGATGCTGTGTTGCTGGTTGTCTGAGATATCACTATTGCAAAACATCAAACATCACATAATCATAAAAAAAAATCAATAACAGGGCAACCTTCGTAAAATATAACCATGAAACAATCTTGTTTTCCGGTACCTGAACTGAGACGACCGGTGGTGCTCGGTGTCGGACTATCGGCTGAAGAACCCCAGCAAATACCCATCTTTCGAAAAACCCTTCTACACTTCACTTATGTCCTCCTTGTCGGAGCATAACCAGGCACTGAAATCACCAAAGATTCCTTGTATTTGCAAGAACACGTGAAAAAGATATATCTTTCAACAAGTTGATGATAAAAAGATTCAACCACCAAAAGAAAACGATTTTTGAAAAATGGGTTCCTACTGGTTTTATTTGCTCTGTTTTTCAAAAATTGACTTAAATTCTCAGTTTATATATTTCCATTACCACTAGGCGTGCAATTGTTGACGAAACTTTGTTCGCGGATAATATAGACCGGAAACTTTTAGCTTCTGTCAACTGCCGTGTCCAAGAAACAAAGTCAGTCAAACATGAGAATTAAATAAATTTATTTCGAATCTTATGAAATTTCAAGGAATTCGATTTTCAAAAAGATAGAAAATAAATTCAAAAACTTCACATTATATATATATATATATGGGTTAGAATTTCCTTACACAATGTATTTTTTTTTAGTTTTATACAGATTTATGATCGCTGGATAAATAAAAATTAATGGCTAAGATTGAATTCTTGATTTTTTTGTGTCTTCACATTTTTTATTTTTAATCTCAATCATCTATTTTCATTCATCCAACGGTCCTAAATCTGTGTAAAATTAAAAGAGATTTACATTGTATAACGATATTATATATATATACACACACACATAGGAATCCATGAAATTATTTTTTATTACATTTTAAAAATAAATGTTACAATTTTAAATTCATATAAAATAAAATAATGTAAATATTTTTAATTACTTGATCAATAAATTTTTTAATAAAATTATATTCATAATAAAAGTAAATTATATATATATAATTTAGTTTTAATATAATTATATATATATATATATATAAATAAGTGAAAGAGAACAGTACAAACTAATAGAAGTAATAAAATTTGATCGATATTTAAAAAAATTAAAATAGATTTCAGAGTAACCAAAATTGAGTAACAAATTTAAATTAAAACATACTAAGAGAGATTACCTGTAAGTATTATATCGTGTTGAATTTAATCGGGTCAAAATAATTTTGAGTTAATTGAATAAATGAATCTTATTTTAATTCAAAAAAAAAAATTAGTTGACCATATTCCCATATATAATGGGGTAAGGGAGAGGTATGATAGTAGGCTGGCCCCCAATGCCAGGTTGAGAGCAACTTCCGTGGGAGACCTCCGGCAGTCAGAATTATAAATTGTCCACCATTGGACTCGATCTCACGATCACAATGTTAAGAGCCTTAGGCTCTACCAACTGAGCTGGACGGGCAATTCTCTTATTTTAATTCAAACTTTATTTAAATTCTTTTTAGTCGAATCTAATTGTTCAAAATTCTATTTAGATCTAACTACTAATGTTATAGTACTATTTGATTCTAATTTAAATAATTTTTTATAATCATATATATATATATATATATATATATATCATATACTGTCAAAGAAGTCGACCCGAATTTAAAAATTAATTAATTAATTACAGAAAATTGTAGACTCCGAAATTATTGTGCTTCATGGAATCACCAAATGAATTGTAAACTCCACTATTTTCTTTTTATTTTTTTATAATAAAAAAAAACCATCATGAGTAAGACCTAAGACTAAAATAATATATTTTAATCATACCCGATTCTTTTTTTTTCTTAGTTTAGAACACAGTGGTAGATGGGTGGGATGAATGGGATGGGCATCGGTCGGATTTTTGTCCATTCAACCGAGAATAATGATTCTTTCATCCGAAATTTAACTGAACTACATGATATATACCCTTCATCCGATCTGAACTCAATCTGAATTTTTGAAATAAAATTCAAACACAACCTGACCCAACCCGAAATAATAATAAAAATATTATTTTTATTCAATAAAA